TCAAAGTCCTGCTTTGCCGAGGAGGCTCAGTATCTGGTACCAGGAGTTTATGAGTAGATGAAGGGAGACCGGGCCTCAGTGAATGAGGATTCTCACCATGAGGAGGCAGAGGAGGGTCAACTATGGGGATCAACCGTGACTCTGAAAGTCGTGGTTGGGGGTGCCCCTGTCTCAGAGGAGCCCTTGGGGGTGCTGGACACTCAAAGGTCTCTTCCCAGGTTCCAAAGGGACATTTAAGTTGACTGTGAAGGGGAGACTTACCAAATTGAAAGCTGGTGTTGGGTGAGAAGATGAGTGACTGGAGAAATGGACGGTGAGCCCGTGGAGGAGGATCGGGCAGTGAGGGTTCCCAGAGCAGCTCAGGTTCCCGGAGGAAGAGCAAGTCAATGGGAGAGCCTCATCCAAAGTCACGGCACCAATGAAAGGGTATCTCACCACGACCATCCTTACCCCAGAATGACCCCACGCAAGAGATTTTATTATCTGAAAGAGAAAATGACTGTGCCCAGAGAGAGGGAACAGCAGCTTGTGGGTGAGTAAGCATGTTTTTAAGGAGTAGGGTTGGGGTAGGGTGTGTTCTGCATTGGTGATTAGATCTTAGGGGTGGGGGTCTTAGCGTGCCAGCATTTGCCTTCATTGACCACTAACACCAATTAGCCCCCATATCAGCTTCCTAGGAGTACCACAAACAGTGTGGCTTAAAGAAATATAAATTTATTCCCTAACAGATCTGGAGGCCGGAGGTCCCAAATCAAGATGTCGGCAGGGTCGTGCTCTCTCTCAAGGCTCTAGGGGAGAATCTGTTCCATGTCTTTCTCTTAGTTTCTGGTAATCTTGGTATTCCTTGGTTTGTAGTTCAAGATTCCAATGTCTGTCTGTGCCACCATGTGACACTGTCCCCTGTGTTTCTGTGTCTTCTTTCCTCTTATATGGACACCAGTCATATTGGATTTAGGACTCACCCTGGGTGTGACCTTATCTCAAGTTGATTACATCTGCAAAGACCTTATTTCCAATGAGGGTCACATTCATGGGTACCGGGTATTGAGATATCATATACCTTTCTGAGGGATAAAACTCAGTGCGTTACAGTGTCCTGTTAATGCTACCTATTAACTGTCTCTCAAGTCCTCCTCCTCTTCATCCTCACTGCCATTCTCTCAGCTCAAGTCCTTATCTGGGGGTGTTCAAAGCCTCCCAACAGTTCTGCTCCCATCTCCCCAAAACCTTGGGAGATTACAGTTTTTAATTTTTTTTCCATACGCTAGAGCACTGGAAGTGGAGTTATTCAGTGAAGAGGCATATGTCTTTACTATTTTGATAGATACTGCCGATTTTCCTCTACAAATATTTAAATTTTTAGTCCTATATATAATGTCTGAAAGTGCCCTCTCTCACCTATTCTTGCTAACACAAGATTTTGTCAGTCTTTAAAATTTTTGCCTACCCATCAGACCATGGTGTTTCAATGCCTCTGTGAGTGTTTTCTAGTCACCAGGGACTCAGATCACTCAGTATTGCTGTGCTGAATGGGGGCTGTCCCTCTGTCTGGCTGCTGCCTCTCTCTCAGCTCTGCCATCACAAGCAGTGCCTTCTAAAGTTCTGGGTGTAAAGCAGGAGCCAGTCTTTATGTGCTCACATGTTAAGGGACGCATTGCAGGCTATTTTACAAAGTCCCATGACTGAGGAAACATGCAGGTTTATCCCCTCCTTCTCTAGATTGCTGCTCTTGAAGCCCTCCAAATGGAGTGGGCTGGAGGATCCAAGGGGAGCATGCCCGCTCTTGCGGAAGCACCCGCACCCAAGCTTGCACTTCACTATCTGGGTGACTCCTTCTCTCTTTCCGTAGGCTGACCTCTTTTTCTGGGGAGTTGGTAGGGTGGTAGGGTGAGGGTAGAAGGGCCAGTTTGGCCAACTCTTTATAAAACTGAAGGGAGTTGGGGCAGCTCCTTGACTCTGTATGTACATGTGGCTTTGTTAAGACTACTGGCCTCAGCTTTGGAGCTTTGCCGGGATCTCAAGAGTAAAGAAAGCCCATGCAGCACTTTGCTGCATATACGCTGCACGTGTCTTTGGGAGACTGTCCGCAAGGGCAAGGGAACACTCCTGCTCTTCCGCTGGGGGATGGACCATCTGCGCCTTCGTCCCTGCGTTATTGTGCATGTGTGGGGTTACTTTTACTCTTGGCTTTATACAGCTTTCTATTGCTTATATTTTTAAGCAAGCATTTGTTACTTTAGTATATACAAAAATTTAATTGTGAAAAATTCACCTTTGGGAATCTCCTTTTTAGAAGATTGTACAAAGTAAAAGCATCAAAATATTGAAAAATTTTTCTTTCAAAAGGAAAGGGCTAATTTTGAAATTATTTCTGAATGCCTTTCCTGTGCACACCCTTGGAATAGACTCTATTATCTTACTTTCTTTCATGAAATCCCACAGTACTTTGTACAGATCTTCCCACATAGGACTTGCTAAAGGCAGAAGGAAAGGAAGGAGGGAAGCGAGGAAAGAAGGGAGGGAGGGAAGCGTATGAGGAAGGGAATAGACCCACCATTGCCACAGGATGGCACAGAGGTGAGCTGGGCTGTCGTGTTCCCAAGACTCCTCTTCACCTTCACACAAAAGAGTTCATTGTTGGGTAAATTTATCTTGCAAAGATTCTATTGCAAGCGGGATACTCAGTTCCACAAGGAGGTACTTATCTGATTACTGCCTCCTCTGGTTCTTGCTCCCCAGAGCAAGGTGGCCCAGAGAGAACTCTTTGAAGTTTTTCTTTTAAATTACATGTCCAAGGTCAATCTGTGCAGAAGAAATTTGATTGAGCCTCAAGAGTTGGTCAAGTGCTTGAAAGTGAGGGACAGTGATCCAGATCTACATGGCTTCTGACCTGAAATAAAACCCTGGAGCCTGTTCTGCTGGCTGGTACTTGCTTTCCAAACGTTACTTTGTGCTCTGGGAAAGCTGAAGGTGAACTAAAGCTTTTTCTTCTAAAAAAATTTAACTGAACTGTCAGTTAAAAAAAGCAAGAACTAAACAAACATAACAGCATACAGAGCTAATAAGCAAAGTCATCCATCCTCATGACTATGCAAAGAATTGTAAATTTAAACAATGAATATAATTTTCCACCTATCAGACTGACAAGTAAAAGGCATCTGATATCTGATGACCAAGGAATCAAACACTTTAAAATACTGCCACTTAAGAGTTCATCAGAACAGTTTTTAGAGTTTAATTTTTCCATCTGTGTGCATATATGCAAAAATTTGAACCAGCAATAACACTTTTAGGAGTTTATTCCAGACAATATCCTAGACATGCATAATGAGTTAGTTAGCTGCAAGTTGCTTACTACAGTCTTATTTAACATAATGAAAACTTGGATATAAGCTCTATGTCCACAAAAGAAGTATGTTTGGAAAATCATGGATCATCCATAAATAGAATGCTGATCAGTCATTAAAATGGATGCTGTGATCACCACCTCTCCAACGGTGTTGCCTACAGCCCAGGGGTCTCATGCAACCATCTCAGGGAGGCTGAGGGTGGGGGACCCAAGCATCTCACACCCTTCTCCAAGCCGATGAGCCAACGGGTGAATTCTAGATGCAGAGCTCCTGCCAAAACAAAACATGAATTTTAATTCAAGGAATGTTTGTGGTATAATGTGGAAAAATTAAAAAAAAAGCGGTGAATCAGTGTGAACACTCTAAGTGGCATGATGGTTTTGGTTTTTCCTCCCATTTTCCCTTCCTGAAAGTACTTCTCTCTCCCCTGACAGGCTGGGCACCTACAAAGATTAATAGAAGGGAGTCCTTAACTCAAAGTAGGAAGAGAGAAAGGAAGGAGGGGGAGGGGGAGATGGAGACCGGACGGGACAAGCCCACTGACAAGTGACAGGTAAGAATCATGCTGAGAGGTGGTCACACTGGACAAAGTAAGAGCTCTCTTTTTACAGTGCGTGCGTGCATGTGTGTGTGTAGATGTTGATTACCATTAATCAAAACAAGGCAGAACTTTACATCTCTCGTTCCCTCAGGGCCCACAGCGTTAAGAGGTGACTCTGACACAGGGTGGCAGGGGTTGGGTGGAGAGAGGGTCCAGTATGTGCGCACAGGAGGGTCTGAGGTCGGGGAGGGTGCAGAAACCCAGAGCACAGTTTTTGTGGGTCTTGTGGAGACAGTCTTTATAGTTTTGCCAAGGCTGGTGTTGGAAACTTCAATCTAGGTATGACCAAGAGTCCATTCAGGATGATGTGAGGGGTGATGTGCTCCTCCGATGCCCCTGCGCTCTCTGCATTCAAAACTGCCCTGCCCCCGAGAGGTGTGCATGTCTACCTGGAACCTCGCAGATGGCTGCTGGTCCTTCTCAAGAATGCTGGAAACTTTCCAGACACCTAAATTGACTTAAAAAAAAATATTGTCAGGGCTTATTTTGCATATCCTATAATTCATCTCGGTCAAGTTGTATTTTATAAATTTACCAAGTTGTGCAACCCTCACCATAAATCTGTTTTAGAGCATTTTCATCTCTCCCAACATGCACAATTATTGCTAATCTCCATTGTTCCCTCCACCCCCTACTCCTAGCAACCATGAATCTACTTTTTGTCTTCCTAGCTTTGCCTTTTGTGGATATTGCATATAAATAGAATCACCTAACATGCAGTGTCTTGTGTCTGGCTTCTTTCTCTGAGCATATTTTTGAAGTTCATTCATGTCACAGCACATATCTGTAGTTTGTTCTTTTTTCCTAATTGCTGAATCATATTCCACTTATGGTCGATAGGTAAATTGACTCTAATGCATATAGTTTCAATAAATAGTACACACAAGAATAAAATCAACCTGCTGAAATTTTAGTGGCACCATAAAAATGTATTTCCGAGATAACCCTTCTAATCAAAATTGAACCTTTATTTTATAATACTCTCTCTAATCCATATGACTTATATTCTATCCAGTAATAATAGTCCTTTTATAATATATCCAGTAATAAAAAAGGTATAACTTATATCATTTTTTAAAAGAAATTCATTTGCTCACGCTAAGTGTTGTGCTAGGTTTTGGTGAAATAGGCATGCATAGGACATGATCATTGCCCTAAACCAATTCATATTTTTAGAGGGGGAATAGGCCTAGACACAAGGGGGAGAAATGAAAAGGGGGAGAAGTGAAATGATGTGGAATGCCAAAGTGACCAAATTTAAAGTTTTAAATGGGAACACTACATATTTACCAGATCCAGTGCCAGGTCTGGTTGAAATGCTGTCAGAAAAATAAAACTGTATAGAGAGTAACATAAAAAATACTCCACAAGGTTCAACACAACCAAGTATAGAAGGATAGGACTGATATGACCTGGCTCATTCAAGTACCTAATAAAAAGAGTCCCAGCCATTTTGAGCCCAGCACAAGCCCACACCGAGTATAACCACAGGCTCTGCTCTATGAACCAAAGCAGGAAGATGTTTTGTCCGACACTCTGATTTTTAGGACATTTCTAGAGCAATGTGCTCATGGCTGGCCTGTCATTTTTAGAAGGACATTGGCAAAAGAGGCTATCTGGAATGACTGTCGTGATCTATCTAGCCTTAGGGAAAAGAACAGGTGTTGGGAAATGTGGGGGTGAGGTCTGATGTCTGCCTCTGAGAGCTCGCAGATTTCTTGATGGTCCACCTAGAACAGGAGTGAGCTCATGTCATTGGGTACAACCCTGATACTGGAAGGCTGCTTATAAGGATGTTGCATGACCTGTTTTTGCATTGAGAGGGAGATGATTTCTAAATTCCCTTTCCTGTCCAAACCTCTTATCATGAAAAAATATTAACAGTTAACCAATCAGTTAGTTATTCATTATTTATGCAATAGCTACAATGTGTAACCATGTCTATTTCAATTCCCAGTTCCTATTTTTACTCATCTCTGGGGCCTTAATACTGTTATGGCCTCTCTCAGCCTTTGGTCATGATCCTTTTTCCTTTATAGTAGCTCCTTTTTGACTTGCTGTGTGTGTGTGTTTGTGTGGCTTCTTTCCTTTTTCTTTCCTGTATTATAAGGTTAACATCCCAAATAATTTAAGTTACATGTTCCTTGATACAGAAAAGCATCACTGAGTCAGATGCCTTTTCTGCTTTTACCTACACATTTGTGACCATGAAAGCCCTCTTTTTTTTTTTTAACCTCTGTGTCTTTTACATAGGGCATTTTTTACATCTGAGAATCATTTCATCCCATATCTGCTTGCCAGGTGAGTCTTCTTAAAACACAGTTCTGACTGATTTTCTTTCCCAGAAATCTCTAATACTTTTCAATTGCTTACAGGAACAAGCTCAAACTCCTTATCCTCAGATTTACAGAATCACCTAATCGTGTCTCAATTTCCTTTTCCTGCCTTATCTCATTCCATTCTCTTAAAAAGTCTGACTCAGGTTAAGTTGATCTTCCTGGTGTTTCTCAAGCACATTTCATTCTTTTTTTTTTTAAGTCAAAAACTTTCAACATGTTTTCTGCATTCATTTTTGGTGCTTCCTCCATTGTGTCCATCATCCCTGAAGGATGTTGAAATCCTAATAATCTTGCCCAGTGCAGCTCAAGGAGCCCTTCCTTTATAAAGCCTCCTCTGGCCCCCTGCCTGAAGCACTGGTTCTCAAAGCAGGTATGGTCCATTCCACCCTGGGACGTATTCTATTTGTTGATTGGCAAGATTAGTTACTCTTTATAAATACAATTTATGTTTGTATGATTTCATGCCAGTTCTGCACAATGAGAGATCAAGAATGCATCTTCTCTGTCTCTACCCCTCAGTATATAAAATGCCCCGTGTTTAACAGAACTCAACAAATATATGTGTTCTCCAGGTGGCCGAGTTCTCTAGACCTGAAAGGAGATTGGAGATCTGGAGAGCTGGTTGATTGATTAATAGAAGCTGAACCAAAAGACTATTGAGCACTTTGTGTCTAGCTATGTACTCAAAATAACAGATTTTGACTAAGTGGTTTTTATTAGTACTTATTATTGAAGTTGATTTATAAAGAAAGATGCATAGTATGGATGAGCAATTTGATGCAAAAATAAATCTAAAGCATAGCTAAAATTAACCTGTGGAGAAATCTTTCCACAGTTTAATGGTCTTGTCAAAATTTAAAGGCTCAGCGTCTTCTTGAGACTGATGCTCCTTAATGGGTATTCAGTGAAACCCCAGACTGGCGATTCATCACGGTTTATATTTACAACATGTAGCACTACTGCATTCCAGCAGGTGGCGCTGCTTCTCCGAAGAAATTGTTCTTGTTCTACTCTGCAGGCACCCTGACTCTCCTTCCCATTGCTTCTACAAAGGCCAGACCCCGAAGAGCAATCTGAGTATCTTACATTAGTGGAAATAAGAGGTGCTTAAAATTATTATATATTCCTTGACAGACAAGGTTTTCATAGAGTCAGGTTTTTATTTTTTCTTTATTCATGCCTTTCATTTTCACATTTCTGATCTTGGAAGACCAGGTTCATCTCTGTCATCCCTGAGCCCTTCACACATTGAGAGGCTTTTTCAGATCTTACAGTCAGCTGGGACCGAGAGAACCTGAGTAGGAATTGAGGCCCACCCGTCCTTCCTTCAGGTGAGGATCTTAGAGCCAAGATCCCTGGTTAAGGTCATTCATGAAATCAAAGGCAGAGCCAGGAGTCAAACCCTAATCTCCTGTCAGTCGCCTGCATTGTCTCATCCTGTGTTGGCCTTCGGCGTGCCTGTTAGCATCAGATGTGCTGTGCGAGTAACTGTGATGTGACAAAAGCCAGTGTCTGTCTCAGTATGAGAAGATGTCCTGGGGAGTCCCAAAACAGGAGTGTGTGTGTGTGTGTGTGTGTGTGTGTGTGTGTGTATGTGTGTAATAGGGATTTGTACATGTATGTATCTGTCTCATTCCTCTTTGAAGCATCTGGCTTGAGGTAAGCTGTCAGCAAGTATGAACAAAGGATGGAAGGATAGGGAGAGAGGAAGGAAGGAAAGAAGGAATCGAGGGAAGGAGGAACAGAAGGGAAGGAAGGGAAAGAAAACATGGAGGAGGAGCAGCGGAGGAGGAGAGAAGGAAGGAGGAAGCCAATGAACTGATCACAGCTCTAATCACCAGTGACATCTGGTAGATCGTGAGATGATTCAACCTAGTTTGGAGCACTCTAGAAATAAGATGTACACCACTTTCTGCTTTTTTATTAGCTCTCATTTCATCCTGTTTTGGCACATGCAATAAATAAAAAGGTGAATTCAGCAGCTAGTTTATCTCTGTGAAGATAAATCTTGACCTGCCACTTGCGTCAAGTCTGGCAGCAGTGATCAGGCATCAGGCAGCTGCCTGCGTGTCATCGTGGAAAGTGCCTGCTCCTGAGGCAGACGGAACGTGGAAGTTTGGGCAACAAGTCCATATGCAGAGTCGGAAAATTTCTGGGAAATCCAAACACCTGGTTTTATTAGATTCATGTCTAGAGTGAGAATTATCGCTCTAAGTGGAAGCCAAGCGTAGAGGCTGTGGCCCAAAACAGGAAGTACCACTTCCCTATTTCTGACTCAAACATGAATTATTGGCTTTTTGTTCCTAGAGGCAAGCCCAAGTGCCCTGAGTTTTAGTTCTGTGATTTCCCTTCAGACCCCATCCTTCCATGGGGCAAAGTCTCATGCCATGGATCAGACTTGACCTAGTCACCCATCAGAATTCACCTCATTCAGAATCTTGCTAACTGGACAAATTCATTGATCTGAAGGGGTCATTCTTATCTTGGAGGACATGTTTGATTTTCTAACACAGGCCTCTTGGAACCACACGGCTCTAGCCTAGGAATTACATCTGTTTGGCCAGTGTCGATTTCTGGCATTACATCCTGTTGGGAGGGAGCTGGGTTTGAATTGTTTTTGCACTCCATTTGGTTGCCTGCCGGTCACACCACCTGGGCAGCCCTATGTTCTGGCAAATGTGTGAAGAGGTGGCATGAGAAAATCATTCGTGTAGCAAATATGATTGAGGACCTGCTATTGCCAGGCACTGTGTTGTCAGGGCCTAAGGCTCAAATACTATGTGAAGGTGGGTCTGTGCCTTTAAGAAAAAGACAGGCAAGAGTTTTGGTGATTATAATGTATTGTTCAGGGTGCTGCAGGTGGAGAGAAGGGGGATAGACTTCAGGGTCCCTGAAGAGGTGGAGTGCAGCAAGTAGAGCTGCCTACTGCTGATGAGAGGGAAAGAAAAGAATCAAGGGTGGCTTCTGTTTTCTTTTGGAAACCAGGCAGGTAGAATGAAGAGTACTAGGGAGTTTAGTTACAGGGGGAACCTATGATAAGGTCACACAAAAGTGTGTCTGTGTATGAGAAACTGTGAGTGCGTTGGGAACTGGAGATGGTATATTTTCAGTACAGGGGATTAATGACTTTGAGCCTGAAGAAAGGAAAGCCTCAAGAGCTCTCACTGTTAGCAACCAGGAATACAGTACACATCGCAATCTTTATCATAGTCATAAGATTTCAATTATTAAAAGGCCATGCTTAGTTTTCTCTTCATCCTATAGGAGGCCAAATATGCACGGTTTTTGCATTTCAAGCTCTTATAATAAAGGAAAACTGCACAGACTGGGACTGAGGAGAACTAGCCCACACAGAGCCCACAGGGTAACAGGAACCCTGAGACAGGTCCTGTGGGAGGCTTCGTCGCCATGGGCATCACCCAGTGCAGGGCCAGGGCTCACAAATGGATTGTTGTGGTGCACACATGGTACATGCTTTCCAGGGGCTAGAAAATGACATCACTTGCTTTATTATCTACAAACAAAGCTTATTTGCAAGACCCTACAGCATTCCTGGCCAAACATTTCCTCAGTGCTGATGGTCATTTGGGAGGTGAGTGAACTGTACTTAAAAATGCTGGTGCACCAGCAGAAACTCCTTCTGTTTTGATTCAGCCTTCCCTGTGCAATGTATCTAGGAGCCATCAACTTTCTAATAGTCTACTAAAATTATGCCTCAATCTAAAAAAAAAGAAATAGTGGGCAGGAAAACTGAATACTTGCTCTGGGTGGTAGAGAGGAACTGTGGGAATTTTCTGGCTTTTCTCTAATACTTTCAGTATGGGAAGCATCAAATGTGAGTCAGAATAAGACTCTTCAAGGGTCTCTCTGGAAATTCACTGCAGAACTTATTAATGATAATAGAGAGGCCAAGGTAAAATGCCTGGGGTCCTGCCCCTTCTTCAGAGAGTCCATAGCTTTGGGGGAAATAATGCAATATATTAGAAGGAATTAATACTGATTGGCATTTATGATTGCATCAAATTTAGGAAATTCCCATGCCTTTGAAGCTATTCCATGAAAATTAATTCAGTAATTTCATCAGCTTGGGAAGTCCTCTTTATGGAGAAACCTTTAGTTTCCTCTCTTTATGGAGCATCATTGATATCTGAAGGGTCCTCAGAATTTCTGCAGTAAAGAACCCCTTGGAGGACTTCAGGCTAAACCAAAAAATGTCTACTGGTGAGTATTTCAGTTATCTGCTTTGTGAGTGTGTATTATAATCTTTCTCTTCTACTCCTCTGCAAAAGCAGTAGTAAAAATCAACTATGTACTCACATGCTTTGAGGTAAAGAGGGTAGATCAGTGTGTTGGGGTGCTTGTGAAGAGCTGTTGGGATATGGCAAAAGGAAAAGCTATCCTGGGTAGACAGCTGACATATGGGTTCTACGGACATTGAAGAGACAGAGAGGGTTTGAGTACATCAGGGAAGTCCTCCTAGAACCGACAGCTAAGTAGAAACCTGAAGAAGAATGAATGCAACTTATCTGGGTATTGCAGATATTATTGCTCTGTAACAAATTACCCAAAGCTTAGAGTCTTAGAACAACCACTTCATTTTGCTCACAATCTGGGGGACCAGGAAACTAAGAGGCCCTTGGCTGGGCAGTTTGCATTTGGGGTCTCTCATGTTGGCAGCCAGATGACGATGGACTGCTGTCTCCTGAGGGCCAGTGTGTGTGTGTGTTTTCTAGGGCTGCCATCACAAAGTACCACAAACTGAGTGGTTTAAAACAACAGACCTGTATTTTGTCACAGATCTGGCAAGGAGAAATCTAAAATCAAGGTGTCATGAAGGCCATGCTCTCTCTGAAGAGTCTAGGGGAGAATCACTCTTTGCATCCGTCCAGCTTCTGGGGGTTGCCTGCAATCCTTGACTATCAGATGGACTCCATCAGTCTCTGCCTTTGTCCTCACTTGGCTCTCTTCCCTGCCCGCCTCTTCACAGGATCATCTTCTTGCTTTGTGTGTCATTGCATCCAAACTATTCTCTTTTTACAAAGACTCCAGTCATTAGATTAAGGACCACTCTAATCTAGGATGACTTCACCTTAATTTGATTATATCCACAAAGACCCGATTTCCAGATAAGGTCAGATTCACGGGTTCCAGAAGTTAGGACTTGAACAAATCTTTCTGGGGGACAAGCTTCAACACATAAATGGCTGGTCAAGGCTGAATGTGTAGGATGGCTCACTCATGTGGCTGGTGGTTGAGGTCGATTGTCCGCTAGAAGCTCAGCTGAATAGTTGACCCGAGTGCCTCATGTGGTGGCCTGGGAGTAGCTGCACTTTCCACATGTGGTTGACTACATCCCGGCACATCCTGAGCACTAGAAGGAAGCTTCCTGGCCTTTTCTGGCCTTGCCTCAGAAATAATACAGTACGTTTCTGCCCAGCGTTGTTGGTGTCACTCAGAGTGACAGGCACTTGAACCATGCCTCCCAGCAGACGCCTCCTGCGGGGGACACTCCAGGCAAAAACGAATCTTATCCTGCTAGTGCAGGAGGGGAAGTAAAACACGAGGCCGCAGCAAACGCCAGGTCAAGGGCACACTGCAATTTGTGTGTTCCACAATGTTTGTTCAAAGGCTAATTAGTATAAATCTTTAAAGAGAATACACAGAAATGAGAATGGCATGCAATTTCCTGTAGAGATAAAATTAAACTCAGGAAAAATAACTCCCTCTTTCTCTATTCTTTTTTCTTTTTCTCCTTTCCCTCTCTCCCTCCCTTCCTTCTTTCTTTTCTTCCTTCCTTCCTTCCCTCCCTGCCTCCCACTTTGGACTCCCTAAGCATGTAGTAGAAGCATTTCATAATACAGAATCAAATTCAGATGCTTTATATGTGTCTAGTCATAATCCTTACTTACAATACACATAAACAGTATCTTAATTCCTGTATTGATAAAACGTTATTCTCTAATATGTACTACAGCACCAAATAAACATGCATATTCTAGACTTAGGCAAATCTAGTCCCAGCATAGTTATGTTGCCTTAGTTTAAATAACAAAGCTATATGGTGAAATCAAAGGATATGTATCAAATAATAAAGGTAATAATCTGGTCTTCTGGAGTGATTTTTAAATTTCCTTCTTTACACTTTTCTAGTTCCCAAAATCATCTCAATAGGCACAAATCACTTTGAGAAAATAATAAACCATTATGATGCTCTGACTTAAATTTTCCTTGAATTTTTGTTTAAAACTTAGAACCAATATGCTATTGTATATTTCAACTGCTGAAAAGTTAAAACTTACTTTAATGCCTTGGTATAAAAGGAGGTAAATTATTTAATTTCAAATAGAACATGGAAGATGGTTTGAGGAGCTACTTTAGATAGTGTCTTCAGGGAAAACTGCTGGGAAGAAATGATATTTTTTTACCAAGTCCTACAGAAAGAGAAACCAGCCAATAAAGAGCTGAGCCAGAAGATTCCAGGCAAAGGTAACTAGGAGTTCAAAGGCTCTGGAGTTGCAAGTGTGCTCTGCTTGTCTGAGAAACAGGCAGGTGGTTCCTGTGGCTGAAATGCAGTGAGTCCTGGAGGGGCATCAGAGATGAGGAGGGAAAGCAGAAGATGTCAGATCACCTTTTTTCTAAGATGAGGTCAGCAAAATTTTTCTGTGAAGAGCAAGACACTAACATTTTAGGCTTTGCAGGCCAGATGATCTCATGGTAACTATTAAACTCTGCCATTGTACATATAAGAAGCAGCCACAGACAATATGTAAATAAACGAGTGTGGTTTTGTTTCAATAAACTTTGTTTCTCAGCTCTGTAATTCGAATTTCATATAATTCTCTTGGTCATGAAATCTTTTGAGTTTTTCCAACCACTCAAAAATGGAAAATTCATCTCATGTCATGGGCTGTGTGGAAACAGGCGGTGAGCCAGCTCTGGTCTGTGGGCTTTCGTTTGTTGATCCCTGCTTGAATATCGTGATGAGAAGTCAAGTTTTTCCTCCAAGCAATAGGAATTTGTTGAGGGTTTAAAGGGGTGTGGGGAGGTGTTTATGGCACCGTTTCATTCTAGGACTACTTTGGAGTGTATTTGGAGAGTGGTTATAGGTGGCCATGAGTGAACATGGAGAGGCATATTAGGCTGGAGCAGTGGTCCAGAAGGGCCAGGGTGGGCTGGACGAAGGTGGCTCTTGGATCTAAGGACATCTGCCTCGGCACAGAAGAGAACGCGTAAGGATTCATACCCCACTGTGTACCAGGTCCTGCGCTAGGACCTTCCAGCTCTTTAAATGATGCCAAGTGCAAATCTCCACTCTCCTTCAAACAGTCATATTCCAGCTTTAAAGAGTCCCAAAATTCTTGCCATTCTAGTCCTGTTTTTCAGGCATTATCTCCCAAAGACTTCTGTTACCTGAGAGATGATATACTTAACAAATTGAAGGAATCAATGCTTGTGATTTTTAATTTGTCAGATAATTTGCCTATAATACTTGAAGTTGGAAAGCATGGACTTCAAGACAGGGACCGTGGAATCATGCATTTTGAGTGCATGAAGTAAGGATGACCAGGCCAGAAATGCTGTCCCTGGAGGAAGCTATGGCATGAATAATGTGGGCGAAAAGCAATGAACATTAACTGTCAGGGGCTGTGTTGTGTCCCCCTGCAGATTTACATACGCAAGTCCTACCCCACAATACCTCAGACTGTGATGGTATTTGGAGACAGGGTCTTTTAAGAGGCAAAAATTGAGGAATTCAGAGTGGCCATAATCCAATATGGCCGGTGCCCTTTTAGGAAGAGGAGACGAGGACCCAGATGCACACAGAGGGGGAAGGAGGCACCTGCAAGCCAGGGAAAGGCTGCAGAGGAAACCGACACCACTGACACTTGACCTTGGACTTCAACCCTCCAGAACTGTGAGGAAACTGACTTCTGCTGTTTAAGCCACCTGGTCTGTGGTATTTTGTTAAAGCAGCCCTAACACACTCACAGTAACTGAAAGCATGAGCGGAAGTGTTGCTTATTATGTCACTTGTTATGCGTCTGGGCCTGAGTTTGTCGCTGTTATAAACTTACTGAATATTCTTAGGCTAGGACATTGTAACAACTTCCTGATCTTAAAATGCATTCCCTTTATGTCCATGCCTGCAGGAGGGAAGGGAAAGGGGTGGTGCCTTTTCAGCAGGTACTTTGGGGGGCCAGCCTGAAGGAAGTATCCTCAACACAGTCAAGCTCAGTGGCCCTGAGTCGTCCGGCTTAACTGTCCCCTAATTGTTGGAATGACTCTGCTGTTCTGTGTCAGAAGAAGGGTATGTCTTATCTTCATGTCACCCATTAAAGATGGTTCCAGAGTACAATTACACTATTCTTTTATTCTGTGCTTTTAAATCTATATAGCTTTTCTACGTAAAATATGAAAAATGCTTTGCAATCTAAGTTCTGTTTGAAAGATTAGCCACAGCAGGCTGACTACCTCCAGATCTTGCTCTCTCAGGAGTTCTCCTTTTCATCAGAATAAAAAGAAAGTCTTAAATTTTTCAAAACATGTGACAGCAGAGCTAAGTGATTCAATTCCCTGCTAGCGTTGGGACTGCATGGAAGTAGAAGAAGGGGCAGAATGAAGGGGAAGAAGGGCACTTGAGCCTCAGTGGGTTACTTGCCTTTGACTCCATTCCCCAGCTCCTTCCTCTGCCTTTGTGAGCCCTGCTCTGAGCCCTGGGAGAGCACCTCAGTGGACTGGGTCCCCTGAACTCTTGGCCTCTGTTTTCTGGCTGGCCTGGCCAATGGAATCTATGAGGAGGAAGAGGGACGCATAGAGAGAGGTTTGGGCATTTACCCTTCCCTATCTCTGCAGGCCTTGCCACAGTTCTGGAAGTTTCTCTACTTGCGGGTAGAGCTTCTGTTGGCTGGTTCCAGGAAGAGTTTCCTCTCCCTTTGCCTTTTCAGGTTCAGGAGTAGTATTGGCTCCTGTCTCTTCTGATGCTTGTCCCTGGGTGCTTCACTGTAACTTGTCATTTCCTTCAACACTACCCACCACTCTGCAAGACAGTCTTTTCATTAAAGACAAACCTTTAAGAATGTCAGTAGTGGGACCATGATGGACACAGACTCATGACTCAGGGGACATTTGCCTTCTTCTATTAGCTACCTATAGAAGAACCATATAGTCTGGGATTTTTCCTACTGCATATTTTATGGAGAGGTGATACAGAGTAGGTGCCATCACTAATCTCTGAGTGAATTCTTACACCTTTCTAACCATTCATGCATATACATGCTTGTGGTTTTCACTGGGCACACATGAGCCATCCTAGGAAGGAGTGAGGATGAAGTTCCCCATGTGAAGTAATAGTGGATGTATAAAGATCCACTGGTGCCCTGGTAAGTGTTAAAAAAAACCCAACACAGCTCTCTTATGAATGGGGGGCCCTGATCTATGGCATTTGGCATTTTCTGTGGTGTAAATATTTCCACCACGGCCAATTTCAAAGCACAAGTGGGTCATTATTGAACATAAATTGGGAAGAGATGCTATCTAACGACCAGCTCTTGTGAGCTGGTACAAGCTGGCCCCACATTCCACTGATTCTATCCAGTTATAGACAGATTAGGATGAACATATTTATATTACAGTGGGAATTTAATAGTTTAAAACATTTATAGTAGAGTAGTTTGTTGGGAAAGTCATTATGGGACAAAATGGGGGTATTAATTAGTTAGCAGGTGAACATAAATAGGAAGCACAGCTGTGTTTATGTTCTCAGTGGGGGATACAACTGCTGTTCAATCATTCCAGGTTTCAAATGCAAATCAAAGGCAGCCTCATGGTTCTAGTATCCTGGAACATGTCACAGTGTAAACTATTGAGTGTGCTGCCATGTAATTTCAAAGCTTCAGTTATAGACTAAAGGTTTACTTTTCTCCTCTCTCAATTCAATTTTATGTCTAATTAGAAACATGTGCTAGTGGTAAAAAAAAAAAATCTAAAAATGGTGGAGCTACTATAGTGGTTTCATTTCATGTTCCCTGAATGTAGTCCTGAAATATGACCAAAATTATTTAGCCAAATGTTGGACTCCACAGCCGGTGAGATAACTCTTAAGCTCAAAAGACCAAAGTTCAAAGAGAATGAGTAGAAGTCATAAAGAGCAGATATTAAAGGCACAGTATTTATAACCCTTTAATGTGGGCCATAGTAAAAATGTAAAGAAAATGCTTAGAGAAATTCTGGAATGAAGGGAGTAGCATAAGTTATAATAGAAAACTAGTTAAATTTTAAGTTAATAACCAAACTCTTGAAGTGGAATAAGTTTCAGCCATCCCTACACATTATATTGTTGAATAATATCTTGCCAAAGGGTTTCAGCCCTGGGCAAGTTCATTATGGATCCAATGTGACCAAAGAAACAACAGGAGAACGTTCTTGGGGTGAAAGGGTTTATACCCAACTTTATTCCCACTGTGGCAGGTCAATCACAAGAATCCTGCCCACTCAGAGCAAGTCTGCATGCAGCAAGCCGGTCTCTGCCTCTGGGCCTCTCTACGCCTGCAGCCGTCTCAGTCTCTGTCCTTGGCGCTGCCACCACTCCAGTCTCATCTCTGCTCTCCTACAGCCTTGCAGCCCTGCAGCTGTGCCACAGTGTCGCCCAGACCACTGGGTGGAGCTCTTTATATAGAGTCAGTAACAACATATTGCCCACACGTGTGTAGTGAGCTAGCCAACCAGGGCCAGGTGAGAATCCTGGCCACAGGAACCTTCACTTTATCCACAAACGAGACTGTCAAAAATTTGGTGGAGGACTGGATAGATCACTAGGAATTTATTTCAATATTTTTTAACTTGTGCGCAAATTGGGTTTCTACAGTTAGGTGCTATTTTAAACCCACCAGTAGAACTCAGTGGTGTTCTGAGGGTGAGGCACTGGGAACAGTTAGCCCTCTGGGCAGCAACATGGAAGTGCATTGTCTGTACAGAATTTAAAACAATGATAAAACTGACTCTAGGTCAGTCTGCTTTTTATCACCCCATATGGTAGCAATTCTAAACAGTGTCTGTGATGGAATTCTCCTTGAAAAAAATCTGTTGTTGGTTTAAGTTCCAAACAATTTTTACGGTTACTAATAAGTTTAATTATATATATATGTTATATGGAAGCTAGTCTGAGGAATTACCAGCTATCTTGTTGGCCCCCAACACATGTGAATTTAGTTACACATGCTTCTTTCCAGATTAAGTTCATAACAGTTTGGAATTGTTTGAACTTGCTGCTGACAAAGTTGGTGTCCCTAGCCCCTAGGGTACTATATATGCTGGAATTTAAGTGGTAATTTGAAATGAACAATGATAGTACAGAGATTATAAAGAAGAAGAAACAGAACTCGAGTTCCTTCAATTTTTCATTCTTTGTAACTGCTTTGTATTTGTGTTTAAAATTAGAAACAGTGAACCAGTGCTTGCTGTAAAGTATAATATTTTTTTTGATTAGTAGAGTTTTAATTCTTACCTGGTATAGTTTTCAAAATTTGACTAATATCTTTAAAAGATAATTTTCTTCTTTTTAGTTGTTAATTACTTTAAAACTGAAGAAAAAAACAAAGGCAATAAAACATGAAATTAAGGGTATGATTTAGAAGTCAGCTAAATTTTAACTTTTGTGGACGTTTCAGCTTTATTAAAATCACTTCATATTAGATTTTATTGTCATGATTATATATATAAAGTTGAGTAGAAGAAAAATGCAACTACATTTCTTTTCCTTTTTTAGAGATACAGTTTTCTAATGTTATTTTTAAGTAACTTAGATTTTTCTTCATTATAAAACGAATGAGAAAACAGAAAAACAAAGAAACATTTAAACACCCACAATCCCAGCTTCTACAGGCAACCACTGTTTACCTCTTCTGGTACTTCTTGTATATGTTTTCTTACAAAAACTGCATTTATTTTCTATCTATTATTATTTATTTTATTTCACATTTGCCTTAAAAGTAATTTAGTCACATAGAGGAGGGGAGTGAAAAATGCTATGTTATGAGTGTGAACTACGCAAGTAAATATGCTGGGTGCATATGAGACTTGTACAAGTTGTATAATTACCTCCTATTATGCCTGCTTTTTACTATAATGCTTCATACATTCCTTGAAAGAAAATCCTCCATAATAAGCATGAAGACCCTACTTTAGAGGATGCAAGGTGGGCTCCTGTAAAGTGACACAAATAGAAATGAGATCTGCTCCCAGGAGCTGGTAGGGGAAGAGAGGGCAGAGCACAGCCCCGTTCCCTGTCCCTCACACAGTGGTCACTGCAGGCTCAGAGGCTGAATGTCCCTCGAAGATCGTGACTCCAGTGCTACACTGTCAGAGGCCGAGAGAAAAAGAGGCACATGAAAATGTCCTTCTGGGCCAACTGCTGAGCCACACACATGCACTCATATGTGTATGCACACACATGCACATAACAATCGTATTTTGGGAAGACGGCATCTTTTCCTCCTTTGACAGTATTGTCACCCATATTGAACTCTGCCCATCTGTAAATCACAAATGAGTGATATGAGGAATTGGACCATCTCACCCATGAAACTACTGATCAAACCTCAATTTATTGTTTCCTGTGAAATATAATACCTGGAGATGGAGTTCATCCTTGGAGTCTCTTACCAGAAACCAGCAAAATGAAAATGTTGCTATTGTTCTATTTCATATTTTCCTACTCTGTGTGTTGTCTTATAGTTTTGAATGAAAATCACTTTTCATGTTTTAGGTAAGGGCAGGCAATGGTGCAATTGTATTCAGTCACTGGAAAATGTTAGTGGTGCTGAAAAGCATTTTTCATAACAAAAAAATTGCATATTCAGAAAAATTGCACACTCAGGACTTAATATAAAATCTTTTATGTGTTTCTCTTTCTTTTGAAGAACGTTTGTTTCTAGGGCAGTATGTTCAATTCCTAGTACTAGTTGAGGCAGGTTCCTTGAGTTCCCAATTTAATATGTTTTAGTTTAATCACATATGGAATCTGTATTATTTCTTTCCAAAAATTTAATCTATCAGAGGTTGGCAACATTCCTTGAATGACGGAGCTTAAGAAAAAAAATGAACTCTTTGGTGTGTCAGATTATTTTTTAAAGCAGGGGGTGGAAGACAGGAACATTTCACAAGTTTCAGGGAGTATTATCTCCATTTTTCTAATTTCTTTTCCTAAGCATTCTCTGAATGTAAATTTAGAAGTTCAGGACTAAACCACGTCATCTTTTCAAAAAGAAATATAATATAGACCAGGGCATGAAAGAACTATCCCAAGGCCCACTGCTTGACCACAGGGCTATATAAATGATGTTGATCTGATCAAATGCATTTCTGGCTCCAAGTCAGTTCCTTCTTTATATCTTTTATGGCTACATGATAATGGGGTGGATACTGGGACAAGCTGACATACTGGGTCAGGTAAAATGGATAACTAATCTTTTACATTCACTCTTCAGGATGGTGCTGTGGTCAGATAATGAAGTTGAGAAATCAACCTGGATACTCTTTTCTTCCTGTGACCATACCCCTTTTGGGCTGGAAGATGCGGGGAGGCTGTCGGGAATGTCCTGAGAGCAAGACCACGAGTTCTTAATCTTTTAAACTTAAAAGCTGCAGATCCAAGTACAAGATAGAAAGTTATCTTAAGCACACTGTTGTGTCAACCTGGAGTTGTTTATTTCTCCATCTCCCGCAGACAGGAGAAATACTGCCTAAGCTGGGATGGGAGTGAAAAGAGAGCTTGGAAATGAAAGGGGGAGATTTGAACTGTAACATGGAGTACTCTTTCCTATTTGGGGTTCTGAAGATTGAGTAGGTATCTGTGCCTTTCTTCCTGTTAAAGCCCAAGCACAGAGGGTCCCGTGGGAACTCCCCCCCACCACTCCCTCACAGACTGGCTGCGGTGCAGAGAGCTGGGGGCATCTGAGTTGGAGAAGCTACCCAGGTTCCCAGAGACCCTGAGTGAGTGAAACGACATTTGGACAGATTTCTGGAGCAATTGGGCAGCTGCAGAAAAGTGAGTGACAGCACAGCTCATACCCAGGTTCTTGATCCTTGTATTATAAAGTTTACCTAGTAAGTGATTGACAGAATTGTGATCAAACTTCTGTCTTCTGCTTCATTCTGTAGGGTTCATACAGGACAGGGGAAACTTTTAGTGCCTCTCCAAGAGAATTAGCTAACAAAGGAGGGAGAAACAGTCAAAAAATGGAATATGTTTATTTTTGATGTGTACTAAACCTTCATTGAGTACAGTGTCTGGAGATGGCTATTTATTGTAGATATTTCATTATTATATAAAGACCTTGTGGAAAGGTTGTGGTGTTTCTAGGCTGTTGGCATAAAACATTGTTGGCATACAACAAATTACAAGCTTAAAACTCTCCCCTTCAAAATGTGTAAGTCTAAAAATCTAAAATATTCCATATAATTTATAGCTTTAATAATTCCCAAAGGGAAATATTTTGCCTTTTGTGATTTTTCCTCATTGGTTTGCACACATATAAATTAGAGACTCTAAATCAACACTGTCCAGTAGAACTCTCTGTATTGATGGAAATGTTTTATATCTACACTGTCCAGTACAGTAACCACTAGCCACATGTTACTATTAAGTACTTGAAATGTGGCTTGTGGGACTGAAGAACTGAATTTTTAACTGATTTTATTTTAATTTAAGTAGCCACATGTGGCTAGCATCTACCATAATTGAACAGTGAAGATCTAAACTCTTAATTTATTTTTCCCTCCCAAGTCTATGGAGAAAATAATTCATGAAATATCTGTAATAGGAAATGAAGTCTGTGTACCTTTTATATAACATGTATTATCTCTATCACTCAATCAACCACTGTTCTTCTCCTGGCTTTGCCATTTTACATACAAATGCTTTGACATACATTTGACATCATGTTTTGCATCTATTTTTTGAAGTCTTTGAGCAACTACCACAGAACTCTGTAGTCAATAATAGGCAACAATAAATATTGATTGAATCACAATCTAACTATAAAGTGGTGACACCTATTTTATAAATACATACACATTTATAGTTAATCCTTACTTAGGGATGCTGTATTTGAGAATTCACCTACTCACCAAAATTTATTTGTAACCCCCAAATTAACACTCACAGTGTTTTCACTGTCTGATGGGCACACGCAGGGTGGTGACAAATTGGAGTCATCCATTGTGCACATTCTCAACTGAAGAAGAACAGGGTGACATTCTGCTTTCTTATTTCAGCTGTCATGTTGTAAACAAGTGTTCTTTGCAATGATCTGTTAATTGCCATTTTTTGAATTTTTGTGCTTTTCATTGATGATTTTGCTACTTCAAACAGCCCCCAAACTTGATGGTGTAGTGCTGTCTTGCATTTCGAAGTACAAGAAGGCTTACAGAGAAAATACATGTTTTAGATAAGCTCTACTCAGTCATGAGTTACAGTGTTGCTGGCTGTGAGTTCAGTGTTAATGAGTCAACCATATATAAATAAGGTATCTTATTTATAAACAAATACATGCATGAAAACAAGATTATATATTGATCGGTTAATGAATATGTGACCAGAGGCTCACAGCAACCTAACTCTGTATATACCCTGAATTCTTCCTTAGGAGCAATTCTCCTTAGAATTCACCAATTCAGTGTTCACCATGCTTATCCCAATAGGTTTTCAACAAAGATAAACATATCATTCGTTAATGGTATCATCTTTCCCAACATAGTGTCCACCATCTTTACATTCCTCTGGGGAGAAGAAGGACACGCCTGCGCTTCTTTTGGTAACCGAGACTGTGATGGTCAATGGCAGATGAGATGAGGACCTGGTAATCTTCAGTCCTGTTCTAGCTTATCAGCAAGAACAGGGAAACCAGGTCCCTTGGAATAAGCCATGTTGTCAGTTCCATCTGCTCCAGAACACCTCATCTCTGACAGGAATAAAGACAAGAGCTGTGACAAGTTTTGATCGTAGTGAATACTTCATTCATCAATTAAGATTCTGATGATGGAAATGAAGAAATGGAATCCATATCGCTGTAGCAGAGAACAAAATAGCTATTTTCCTACCATAGTTTAAGTAAAATTCAAAAGAAATATGGTCAATTTTAACCAAAATTAACCCCCACTCTCAGGTAAACCAAACATTCAAACTGCCTTTTTTTTGCATAAACATAAAATTTTTTAGTTCTCAATACTTTCTAGAAAACCAGCCCATTCTGTTCATTGCAAGCATTAAAAACAAGAAATATTCTGTACCCCAGCTTGCATTTATCAACACATATAGAGCATAAATGTTTATGTTTGCTTGAGTAGCTTGAAAAAGAGCCAATTTTGGTGCCCTTGTCTCAAATTTGGGATGCAGATACTCTATATGCCCCTAGCCTTTCTTTGACTGGAAATTGACAATTTTCCAGGATTGTAAGCAGCTGCCATTTCATTTGTATCTACTAACCATATTTTATTTATTAAGGGAATTTTTTCTTGGTAAAAATACATATATCCTTTTTACTTGTGACTTGTTTTTATTTTAGGAGGGCATCTGCTACTTCATGTTAAGTCTAGAAATAATTTCAAAAGTTAGCTGTCAAAATTCATCAGCAGCCCTCATTCTCCCTTCTGTCTTTCTTCCTCAGCGCTCTTGAAGTTGGGTAAGCATTGAACCAGGATCTTCAGTGAAAGGATTCTGGGTCATTCAGCTGAATTTTCCTGTGCAGAACTGGTGTTATCACAAAGTGAATGAAACCTAAAACTCCAGAGCCCATCACTTAGATGAACTCTTTGCAAGGCTGTGAAAGGTACTCAAATGTGTTTATCTGAATTTTTATTGTTGTGACAAATTTTGTATTTTCACATTCTTTCTTAAAAAGTGGCCACTCCCACCATACACAATAGTCTAAGCTTCAAGTCCCATAAAACCTGAGTCTATCGCTGCCCCTGTAGCTATGTGTGTGGCCTCTAGACCTGTGTGTTGTTTTCCTTCCTGTAATGCAGGCAGCCTCTCCTGGCTTAGGAAGCTGAGGTTGGCTATACATTCTGTTTCTGTTGCTCCTTCCTCAGGGCCTGGTTAGGTTGACAGATCTCATGCTCAGACAGGACCCTGTAATAGCTATTAACAATTCTTTAGTTTCCTTCGTGTGTTACTCAGGATTCTCTAGAGAAACAGAACCAGTAGGATATATACCTTGATATTTTATTCATTTATTCATTTACTTGTTATTGGGAATTGGCCTATACTGTTATGATGCCTGGCAGGTCTTCAGTCTGCAAAGCTGATACGTTTAAAGGCTGTCAGGTAGGAGAATTCTCTGTAACCTGAAAGTCAGACTTTTATTCTACTCAGGCCTTAAGCTGATTGGATGAGGCCCACCCACATGGAGGGAAATTGACTTTAATCAGTACACCTATTTAAATATTAATCTCTTTTCCAAACCCCCTCACAGAAACTTGCAGAATAATGTCTGGCCACATATATGAACTTCCTGTAGGTATTCAATTTTGACACATAAAACTAACCATAACACTTTACCTACTAAGTGAGCTATTATTTCCATGACTGGCCTATTTATATCTGGGTTTATCACAATCCATTTTTTAAAATTGTATATGTAATCATATTTTAGCAAGCATTATTCGAAACATTATTGTGAGTCCTATAACCAAACTGTAGGGTATAAAGGGGAAAAATAAGTTCTTAGGGAATTTGTCCTTTAGGTGTAATCCTGTGACTAAGCTACTCATCGGAATAATGGGAGGAGAATTCAAAGGCAAAGTAATGATTCAGTTCCGGTCAATGCAAAGATTTCAAGGGGTCTTAAAGAGAGGCAGAGCTCATTTCAGAGAGAAATACTCAGAAAGTCTTCAGGTGAGATCTGAAGCTACAGGGCACAGGGGAGTTCTCTTCAAAGAATTATTTGGTCCCTAATAATAATAGTTCCAAAATTGAGAATTGGTTAGTTGTCCATTCTTAATTCACTCTTTGCTTTTAAAAATAAAAGGCAGCATCTGTGTTCTCAGCAGAAAAACATGAGTGCAAGTATTTAGCCTAGTTTCGGATTATAAATGCTGCCCCTCTTGTAAGTACTCTTAAAATGAAACCAAATCACTCCAGAACTTGGAAGTAACATTAACAGAGGCCCTTTTCCCCCCAGAGAGGGATAATACTGATTAAGGAATTCATAAGTAGCAATCATGGATACCACATTAAAAGGCAATTTGGTGCCTCACACTTTTCCTCTTTTGACCTTTACTGTAGGATTGTTGACAGTTCTCATCTGATACTTAGTAAAAGTGATCACCCTGATTCTTTGAAAAGCAGAGAACAGTTTACATAAAATTCCAAGCACCTGCTTCAGTGTAAATGACAACACCCACCCGCAGCCATGTCCTTACAGGATTCAAGGAGAACCTTTGTGTTTTGTTTCCAGCGGCTGCAGCCTCCCCACAGATGGCAAATTGGGTGTCAGGCAGTGGGTACTCAGTAAATACTGGTGACAGACCGACCCTACACCAGGGGTGAATTTCTTCTCTAATTCCTTTTACTCTGGAAATGATCAACACTTTCCCCCAGACCACCTGGGCTGCTCCATAGAGATAAGCTTACAAACATAAGCGAAGAGTGAGATTTTCATTTTTGAGCATTTGCAAGTAAGAGAATGCTAACAAAATTAAAAACTGTGTTTCTTACAATTAAAGGGAAGGGATGTTCAAAACATCCCACTGAGAACTATTTGTTTAAATTCAAGTTTACTTGACCTTGTTTTGACATCATGTGTATCCTCTTATCTGCCTCATGATGAGAATTTTTTGTCAGCTCCTGCAAAATATTTTGACTACAGTGAAAGCTGATCTTGTTTTGCTCAAATGGATTGGGAAACAAAACCATGTGAAAAATCTTGGGGATAGAAAAGAAGCCCAAATGGATTAGGGTTTGCTTTTAAGTCATGAGTTCTACTGATGTAGGTCACCAGTTATAAATTGGATATGCCAGCTGCACTTAATCCCAAAAGGTAGTTGAAACACGTGTGGGATTTACAGATCTGTTTCTGAGTTTTTACAGTGTGCTTGGGAGTCTCAGTTCCAGAAAAGTTACAGAAGGGCTAACTCCCAGCCTTAGAAGTAGATGCAGTACACACGGGGGGCCTTTTACACCTCTTCTGCCTGGGCCAGAATGTAATGTGACCTTACCACTACTGAGAGCCTTGGGACAGCGAAGAAATGAATGTCCAGAGGTCATCACCGGGGCCTTTGATAAAAAGGGCTGATGTGGAAGAAAGAAATCCCAGTCAACCTGAGGAATCACATCATCAGAGGAACCACACAGGCTGTGGGACTCTTGGCCACTGGCATGCAAGGCAGGGTCCACTCGGGTAACAAAGCAACCTTTACCAGGTCACCCACCAGGGAAAGGCAGTAAGTGAGCCCTGACAATGGGGCCCAGCCCTAGGCCCCTTATGTGATTAGCTCTCTGTTACTCAGAGAGGAGTTTCACAGCTTATGTGCCATGCTCCTTCCTGCTGCTCGACCATCAGCCAGCTTGGGGCTTAACATCTTCAGAAGGATGCTGGTTTTCCCAAAGAGATGTTAGAACACACCTACCCCAGTGACAACAATGAAAAAGCAGGGGTGATGAGTACAGCTTTGTTCTCTATTCCCACCATGATTTGATAAAATCCTTTCCATTTTAATCATATCCTCATTTGACTGAGCACCAGTGGCATTCTGGAGTTTTTTAATTCAATTCTCAAACCCCTTACAGATGAGCAGAGCTCAGGAGGCCAAAGTTACCACTTAACTTTCCCTCCCTTGGACGTCAGTCTGGACTGTGTGGAAGGGCTTAGCCCAGAGAGACCGCATGTTGGTGCTACATTCCCACAGTAATTAGTGAGTGAGAGAACTCTGGTAGGTTCTTGGGGTGGGAGGGGTTTTGGATCATCATTGTTTTATGTTTGAGAAAGTTCAGGACAGTGAAATAGAAGTAGCCCAGCAGTCCCTGTTAGACCCGGAGCCCAGCGGGTGATGCTGTCTTCTCTGAGCTCGTGGCTGGGCATGCCAGTAGCATTTCCTCCCCTCTGTCCTGTGATGCTCTGCCAGCAGTGTCTGCCGCAAGATCTCAAGGATTTGAGAAACCAATAAAATGTACCAGTTTTCTTCTCAAACTCGGAAGTAGTATGAGACATCCTTTATTCTGCATTATTTGTTTCTAAGAGCAACGTTGGGATTCTCTTCTCCTTAAGCAATTAAACAGCACCCCGCAGGCCAAAGGACAGCCTTAGTGTATTTTAAAGCAAGAGCCACTGCTGGTGTGACTTAAGCCCAAGGGGGTTCCTAGCCTGGGGTTTCTGTGAGCTTGGGGAACTGTTTGTCATTTTGTGAAGCTTTGTCTTAAGTCTCCTCCTATAGGTCAGCTCTGGAGGTGTAAGCCTCCTGCCAGGGGAGATAATTGGTTGGTAATGAGAGCTTATCTTTGCAGGCGAACTGGGGAAGAAGGAGGATGGACGGTGACCAGTAGGCCTGCTGCCCTGCATCTCTGTCGTGTGATGTGGGGTGGAAAATGAGCTTCAAAGCTTAAACCGGTTCAAACTCCAGATCAAGCTGAGCCCCCTCTTGGCAGCCCACTGAGAGGCTGTAACTGCGAGCAAATGCAGCTGACACTTTATTATTTTTGCAGGGGGTGGGGGGGGAGGTGGTCCTGTTATTTCACTTCTGAGGTGTAAAAGCTTCTTTTATAGTGTTTCATCTTCACAAAAGGCCACATATTTTAAGATTTTATTTATGGGAAATGTCCCCAGTAGGAAGATCTGCAGAGGCAGAGGGTGGATTTGTGAGTGTGAGAGGAGCTGGGGGAAGGGGGAGTGACTGCTGTTGGGCAGGATTGTTTTTGATATGGTGAAGATATGCACAGCATAGCAAATATACCACGAGCACTGAATGGTCTAGTTGGAAATGGTGAATTTTATGTTATGTGAATACCTCAGTAAACAAATTACCATATAGTGTGTCATCTTAAGATGATGACTGTGGAAAATTGGCCTTGGGGGTGGCAGGTCCTGAAATGCTCTGCATGATAACAGCAGCTCAGGCTTGCTGTGCCTCTGCCAGTGTTCTAAGGGCCTGACACCTGTTCACCTGTTTAATCCTCACAATCAGGATTGTCATCCACAGTTTGCAGAGGAAGGAACTGAGGCACAGAGAGTCGGGGGACCTATTCAAGGTCACACAGCTGGGGCAGGGCAGAGCCAGGCTCCCCACCAGCCAGCTTGGCTCCAGAGTCTGTATCTGGACCCGGGTGCTATGCTCCCATCTGGATTCTAGTAAGGTTACTGCAGGATACTGAAAAAGAAAAAAAAATCCAGAGAGGCTACATGAGTGCAGCTCAGGGTGGCCCAGTCTGGACGTTGGCACAGGAGCTCCCTGTAGCAAAGGTTATCTGCCCGAACTGATTAGCCCACCGAGCTGACGTGCCAACCCGTAGTTGACATCAGCCTACTCCGGCCCCTGTTTGTTCAAGCCGTCCCTGGCTGCGGATTGGTCTGTGCGGACACGCCTCTACCTCTACCAGATACCTCTCACTGGGTGGGGTGGAGGAAGCTGGGCGCTCCCTTCTGAGGCAATACTGGAAGCTGCCTCAATGCATAGGCACTAGTCAGTTAATGTGTTACAATAACACCATCTGATTTAGGTCTTTGGTAAGAAGCTTTAAAGCAATTTTGTATACCGTTTTATGCTTTTAATATCAAACATACGGATCTGTGAAGGAAGGAAAAATGAATCATCTTGGACATTTTAAAATGATCCC